AAAAATAGATTGCTTTTAATATCGACTCACTTTCTTTTAATATTGACCAGTGAAATAATTGAGGACTTCATTTTTTTCCCCCTCTATTTACCATAATGTTTATTGGTCCAGTTGTAAGGATTTTTATTTTCTTCATGTTCAGGTGTAATCCTTACTGAAGGCTGTAGTTTTGTTTTGTTTTTTTAATTTAATCATAAGTGCTTCAAATTGTCTACATTTTCAGCAAGCAGATTTGTGTCAAATGTGTTGCACAATTTAATGACTCTTCTTCCAATCCTGATGACAAGTTTTTATTTATACAGTCCAGCTTCTCAAGTTTATTTATTTAGCCTACATAATAAATACATAAAGTGGAAGGGTGCATCCATCCTGTATGCTTTTTCCAATTTTAACCTACACAGTATCCTCTTCTTTTAGAATGACAGCCTCTAGATCTATGCACAGGTTTTATATAAGCACAATTAGATGTTGAATTCTCCTTATTTGTGATATTATTCACCATTTGTTATGATTTATATAGTCAAATACCGTTGGTAGTCAGTAACATGTAGATAAATATTTTGTTCTTTTTTCAAATATGTCAAGCCAAGACTGGTCTAAAGAATGGTACTGATTTTTCTAGCTGTGCATAGAGTTGCCTGGTTAGCTCATTTTTGAGTCCCCGTAGTTATTTCCCAGACGTAAGCCAACTTCAGTCTTCACACACACTTTTCGTTTCTTCCTTAACTAAGCACTGGGGATTCTATTTACTCTCCTTTTCCTCTCAACTTTGCTGCCACTCAAGCTGTGCCTTAGCTTCCTCTCAAATAACCATTGGTGAAGAGGGACATGATGTACTAGGTCCCTCTAGCTTTCTGTCTCCTAACTTAAGGCTCTTAAATTTTCAAAGTCTCCAAAACTCTGAGAAAATTCCTTAAGGCATTGATGCTGAAACTTTCCTTCTCACTCTTGGAATCTTCTAGTTTTCTAGATCTGACTGGCTTTAATAAGGAAGCTAGAGATTGAGAAAGGGTCCTTTTAGGTGCCCACTTCTCTCAGGTCCATTTGCATTTTTATTTTGAGCCTCTAAACTACTGTTTTCCAACTCCTGGACACTCTGGACCAGGTCGATTTGAACCTCAAGGTTGGTGATTCAAACTCACCAGCCTCTCTTCAGAAACCCTATACTGGGTCACTAAGAGTCAGAACCAACTTGGCATTTAACAATAACAACAAAGAGATAGGACACTAGGATTTTTATGGCATACTATGTTGTTTTTGTTGTTAAGTGCCATCGAGTCAGTTCCGACTTGTAGTGACCCTGTATAGGGTTTCCAAGGAGCAGCTGGTAGGTTTGAACTGCCGACCTTGTGGTTTGCAGTCCAGTGCTGTTCCTACTGTGCCATACCAGGAGTCCGTGGTATACTACAGAATTACTGAAAAGGATATGATTATCCATGTCTAGGGACTATACGTGCCCTATTCCCTATCCTTTTTAACTTTTTCCAGTTAAATTCCATTTACAATGTTGGGCACCCATCGGGTCTGGAATGGAACTCGCCTCTTTCTAGCCAAGTGGTTTATAGGTATACACAGGGGACAATAACATTAGTAAGGTATGCTCACCATGGAATGGTCAGCCACTCAAGATCAAAAGGGAAACATTTACCCAAGGACAAATTTCAGAAGGGTTGGGAGGGAGGGTGGAACAGAAACAAGAACCAAAGGGAGGAAGTGGGATAACTTGTTGCATGGAGGGATTGCAATCATTGAAATGAAGCACTGTATGGTTTGTTGAATGTAAAACTGATGATCTTTTCTGTAAACCTTCACTCAATTTACAATAAAAAATTGTTAAAAATAAATGAATTAATTTGCTGTCAATTTCTATATGGAAGTTTAAATTTACTCAATAATAAAAGACAGCAACACATTATCCACATTTATCTGTGTAGTTATCATAATTTGAAAACTTGTGTTTTTTGTTTTTCCTCATACTGACTTGAAACCTGGCAGTTTAGGATTAATTTACAAATTAGTAAAGTAGCACAGTGGTTAAGCACTTGGTTGCTAACCAAAGGCTGCAGCTTTGAACCTTTGTTTTCAGTAATTGTTGATCATTTGGTATAATATAGATGGTGTATCCTATAGAAACTCACAGGTTTGAGCCTATAAGCCTGCTTTATAGAAGAATGATACAGCAGCCTACGATTGTAACGATTAAAGCATTGCACAGCATAGTTCACAAAAATGAAGTTCTACTTTGTGCTTTTGCTGGAGAAAGATGAGACTTTCTGCTCCCACAAAGATTTAAAAGCCTCGGAAACCCTATACAGGGTGGCTTTGAGTTGGAACCGACTCAAAGGCACTTAATAACAACAACAGCAAGTTTCTACTTTGGTGAGTAGCAACTGGGGTCTTAAAAGCAAGTGAGTGGCTGGCTACCTAAGTATAACTGTTGGTCATTCCTTGTCTGAAGGAAAGAGTGATGTAAATCGAAGGAACATGGAAACAATCAGTCTAATGGACCTTTGTGAGCATCAGTCTTCATGACCCTGAGACAGAGGAACTAGATGATGCCCGAGTATCATTACCAACTGCTCTGAAAGGAATCATATTAGAAGGTCCTGGATAGAGAGGGAAAGAAATGTAGAACAAAATGCAAAATCACAAAGAAGATCAGGCTTATTGGTTGGTTCAGCTGGTGAGTCTGAAGACTATGGCTATGGCTCTTAGTCATCTGTCAACTGAGTTCACCCCTATGGCTCAACTTTCAGCCAAACAATAGACAGGTCTAAAAGGGGAACAATATCACTAGTGAGTTATGCATATGTAGACTACTCAACCATATGAGATCAAAAGAGCAGCATTTACTCAAGGACAAAGCTCAGAAGGGTTAGGAAAGTAGGAGAAATGGAAGCAGGAAACACAGGGATGAGGTGGGATAAGTGATGTTACATTGAGGGAACTGCAATCAATGAAATGAAACACAATGTGTATGAATTGTTGACTGTAAAACTGATGATCTTTAAAACACCCCATTTACAATAAAAAGTTAAAAATTTTATAAAAAGAAAAAGATTCGAACCTTGTGAATCTTATGGGACAGTTCTACTCTGTCCTGTAGGGTCACCAAGAATTGGAATACACATAACGGCCATGATGTTGTTAGGTGCCATCTAGGGTGCCTGTATAGGTTTTCCAAGGCTGTACATCTTCGTGGGGGTCCTGGTGTGGTGGTTAGGTTAACGTGCTATACTGCAAAGTTGGTTTGAAGGCAAGATCGGCGGTTCAATCTCTCTAGCTGCTTATATAGGGTTGCTGTGGTTCAGAACCGATTTGATGGCACTTAACGACAACATCTTTGTGTGAGCAGAAAGCCTCATCTTTCTCGCGCAGAGTGGCAGGTGAAACCACTGACCTTGTCATTCCCAGTCCAGTGTTTTCCAGAGCTACTTGCGCTCCCCCTTAATTCTGACTCAAAGGGTTTCCAAGGAACAACTGTTGAGTTTGAACCGCTGATCTTGTGGTTCAAACCGACCTTGTGGTCCAGTGCTTTATCCCATAATGCCAACGCCAACACCTGTTGTTGTTAAGTGTTGTTTAGTTCGACTCATATTGACCCTATATAAGGTTTCCGAGAAGCAGTTGGTGGGTTTGAACGGCTGACCTTGTGGTTTGCAGTCCAGTGCTGATCCACAGCACCACACCAGAAGTCCTTGATGGCTTTGTTGTTGTTAAGTGCCGTGGAGTTGGTTCCGACTCACAGTGACCCTGTACAGGGTTTCCGAGGCTGTACATCTTTACGGGAGCAGAAAGCCGCATCTTTCTCTCGCCGAGCAGCTGGTAGTTTCGAACTGCTGTCCCTGAGGTTCGCAGACCCACTCGTATCCACTATGCTACCAGAGCGCCTTTGTTGTTGTTGTTGTTGTTAAGTGCCATCGAGTCGGGTCCGACCCATAGCGACCCTGTACAGGGTTTCGAAGGTGGCACAAATGTAAAGTTGTACCAATAAACCCTTTCTCCAAAAACGGGATTTACCTGCTCTCAGATTAACAGCCTTGAAACCCTATAGAACAATTCTATTCTTTACACATGGTGGTCTCCAGAAGTTAAGCAACTAAAAATAGCAACAGAATATAACTGTAAAAGGAACCAGTGAAGGTACTCATATTTTCACAATTTAATTCCAAAGATCCAAAGATCATTTCTGCTAAGGGTTTGTCTCAAAAGGTGCTTTTCTATGGTTTCTCTAGTGAAGTTGGTTGATTACCTCGGAGTAAAGAATATAATGTTCATTTTCTTAGTTTGGGTCAGGCTTACTTTCCAATTGTTAGGTTCAACTTTGTGTGCATGTGAGATTGTGGACTCCTGGGTGTGCATTTGGGGCGTAGCCGAGCCGTTTAAACTAGCGAATCCGCATTCACAAAATGCTCCACCTCGGCTTCATCGAGGGTGATGCTGCCAGAGATTGCACGAACTCCTGAGTCCTGACTCACCTCTGACCCTCTCCGTACTGTCCCTTCCCGTCCGCGAGGACTGGGCAAGTCCGGGAGGCTACTTCTTTCTAGAAGGGGTGAGAATGGAGCTGGAAAAACTAAATTAGGTCAAGAGCAAAGCAGCAAAATGCAGTTGGAGGGAGGTTTCAGCGCGCCGGAGAGGGAAGAGAGTTGCAGCCTTGCGAAAGGGGCGGACCGGCTCGGGCCGTTCGCATTTCCTGTGTCGGGGGCTACCCTAGCCTCTCTCTCCCGCGGCGGCGGGACCATTTCCTGAATCGCTGAAGCGGAGGGAGGGCTGGGACGCGGCTCTACCATTGGCCCAAAGGGGTGGGGGAGCCGGATACAGAAAGGTTGAGGAACGCGGGGACGATCAAGAACAGGAACGTTGTGTCTGGACTCTAGTTCCCAAATAACACGCCGAAATAACACTGTCACGGGTCAGAGTTTCTTCTTTGGGCCAGGCGGGCTAGTTGTTTGCTCGACACTGGAGCATTCCCTCCCTTCTTTTCTGAGGTGGTTCAACCCGGGAGGCCGGCCTCTTTCCCCAGTTTGCCGTTCACCCTTAGCGCTCGGGACTTGCTGATAGTGGTGACGGCGGCAACATGTCTGTGGCGTTCGCAGCTCCGAGGCAGCGAGGCAAGGGAGAGATCACTCCCGCGGCTATTCAGAAGGTGAAACTTCGTGGGTCGGGATGCCAGGCCCACTCCGTCTCTGGCAGAGACACTGGGGCAGTGCCAGCCGGGAGACGGCCCGCCAGGGGCGTAGGCGGGCCTTCTGGGAAGCAGTTGTGTGGGATCTAGAACCGCGGGGCTGTGCCTGAGTGGGTGGCGAAGAGGGCGTACCAGTTTTCTCTGGGAGTCTTTCTCTTGTTTAGGTTCTTTCCTCCAGGCACAAAAGCTCAATTAACCGCCGCCTGATTTCTCTAGGGATGGGGCGGCGTTCGGGCAGCGGGGCGCGTGCGCCCGGCGGCGGGGCCGAGCGTGGACCGGCTGTTTCTCGGAGTCGGCGCCCGGGCGCGTCGTTCCAGAGTTACTTTGGCGTCGCCCCGCCCCGCGCCCGGCGGCTGCTTCTTGCCGACCCGATCTCTGGGTGCAGGAGGCGGAGGGAAAGTATGAGCGTTGGTCGGCCTCCCTGGCGCCCCCCAAACTCCAGCAAATAAGTTGGGAAGCTCCCAAGAAAACTCTTGGGGGTCCTTAGGGCACCTGAGGCTGATCTGATCGGTGGGCAAGGGAGAACCCTAAGAACCTCGGGGTTACTTAAGGAGTCCCAGTTCCATTCCTGAATCACCCGGTAACCCTTTACATCTGCAGCAAACACTTACTTAGCGCTGAGGCTACATTAGTGAAGAGTTGAGCCCTGCTTTCATGGAGTGTACAGTCTCGTGGTGGAGACACTCAGATAATCTTGACAAATCATACTTTATGAAAAATACACAGAAAACTGTGTCCCCATTAGAGGGTAGTGCTACCGCTGTCGATGTTGTATTGCTGCCAGTTGGAGACACAAAGGTTCTTTATTGTGCTCCAACCCTTGTTGTCTGTGAGCAAGGCAGCATTCTATTCTAAACTGTACTCAATCAGACTTTGAAAAATTACTTCCTGAAGCTGTTAACCTTAACCATTTCGGTTTGGTTTTATGCACTGAAGCACGGATGAAAATAGAAGAAAAGTCAACTTGTAGTGCCATTTGGAATTCCATCGTATTCCCAATATACTGTGTTATTCAGCTTCTGTTTACTGTCGGGTCTTTGTAGTGTGGCATTTGACATTTGCCCAACTGTTGCTTTATTTTATGAATACATTGGTTTGGCAGTGAGTGAACTGACAGTGCTTCGTATAGGGCGCTGGGCTAAGTCTGCAGCCTGGCAAACATATGCTTTCACACACATACACCATGTTTCTGAAGGAATCCTTTTTGTGTTTTGAGGATACAGGAGGCGTCTCAAGTTTTTTACATATTTATTTTTTTCCTATAAAGAAGTTTTCCTTAGATGTTTTTCACAGGTGTTTAGAGGATGGTGATCAGTTTTTTTAACCTCAGATGAGAAGAGAAAATGGATTCCAAATTAAGTGCTTCATTCTACAACGTGGGAGGGATTGACTTTAGATACAAGACAGATCTTGTTGTAAGGGTGAATGAAGTTCATTAGGTTGAGGAATATATTGAAAAGATAGGTGTGAAATTGTTAGGTTGGGGATTAGATTGTGTATTTTAAGGACAGCTTTCTTCTGGTGGTCTATGACAAGGTATCAGATATAACTAGGTATTAGAAGGGCATATTAAATTTTTTTTTCTAGCAAGAATGATTCATGTGCAGAAAAAGTTCAATTAATGTTAAATGAGCCGTTTTGAAAAGAGTTCCATTGCTACCTAAATTATTGAAAAAAATGATTATGATGTTACACCCCATGCTTTCACTGAAAGGGGAGAAAATTCAAGAGGAACAATTACTCATGTCCGTTGATATTACAGATAATATAAGTTAGAATAATGACTTGGTAGGCTTTTGTTTTTAAACTTTTGCGACAGCCTAATTATAAGGTAAGTTCATAAAATCTTAAATCCACAAAAATTATTGCATCTGATTGTTAGGCCAAATTTTGGGAAATGACTAAACCAACTAACCAGTAAACACATCAAACCTCCTGGACTGAAGTTTTCCTGAATTTATTGCGGAGTCTACTTGGACTCTTAACTTTCAGTCATAGCTAGCTAGTTTATATTGTGTATTGGAAAAATAAATGTTTGAATAAAAAAGAAACTCCAAAACTTCTAGGCTAAAGTTAGATAAAAATGCAAAGGGAGAATATTGAAATAGAGGTATTAAAAGAATGTTGCTTAAACAATTCCAAAGGTGAGCTATATATTACTTGTTTAAAACACCTACATATATTTAGTTCTTATCTGGTAGCGTAGTGGTTAAGAATTGGGCTGTGAACCGCAAGGTCAGCAGTTCAAAACTTCCAGCTGTTCTGTGGGAGAAAGATGAGGATTTCTGCTCCCATCAAGATTTAAAGCCTCAGAAACCCTGTACGGGGTCGCTATGAGTCGGAACCAACTCCACGGCACATGACAACAACAACATAGAGTAAACATTTCAAGAAATCAGAAGAAAAAAAAAATCAATTATTGGAAGAATTGTACCTATGGACAGTGTGTTTGATTTTTTTTTTTTTTAGTAGTTTTTTAAGGAGTTTAGTACATAATGGAATTTTATGAGGAGGCTGAATTTACTAATCTCTATGGAATTATACTTGTTATTACAGTGAATTAAAAATAAGTGTTGTAGCAGCAGGTAGCAATGTTTAATAAAAAATAGTTTTAAGGGAATTTTGTTTTTTATATTACCATGTTTACTTAATGATTTTTAAAATAATATACAGTGATTGTTTTGTGCTAATAGTATTTTATTAAAGGTGCTTTAAAGTTCTGAAAACACTTATTAGTCTCCTCCACCCCCTAGTTTTTTAGTTTTTGATTTTATTTGATGTACTAAACCTGTAATAAACCTTTTCTAATTTTATTTCAGATGTTGGATGAAAATAACCATCTCATTCAGTGTATAATGGACTATCAGAATAAAGGAAAGACCTCAGAATGTTCTCAGTAAGATTGCTATGAAACATTTTTATATGGATTCTTCTCTGTTAGTTATTTTTTGCTTTACGTTTTTTAGTAAAAATAATTTAATTGAGATATAGTTCACATACATATAATTTGCCAGTTTAAAGCATGCACCTTGTAGTTTTTATCATATTCACAGTTTTGTAACCATCGCCACAATCAATTTTTGGTTATTTTCATCACTCGCTACAAAAATCCCCAACCCATTACAGTCATTCCTCATTCCATTCCCTCTACCCCTCATCCTCAGACAACCACTAATCTGTTTTCTGTGTAGATTTATTTATTGTGGACCTTTTATATACAAAGATATAAATACTATACTTTGTATAATATGTGGTATTTTGTGTCTGATTTGTTTTACCTAGTATAATGTTTCCAGGATTCACCCATCTTGTAGCATGTATCAATACTATATTCCTTTCTATTAATGTTTTTATGATATATGGGCATAACACATTTTATGTATCAGTTGGTAGACATTTGCGTTATTTCCACTTTTAGTTCATGAATAATGCTGTCATAAACATTTGTGTACAAGTTTTTATGTGACTTCACTAAATTTTTTACGGAAGAAAAATTTGTTTTTTAGGAGGTGGATGGAGAAGGTGTCAATTTTTTTCCTTATACTTCTTAACCTATACTAAAAAATAGTAACTTTAAGTTGTATATAGTTTTATGTGTGGAAAAAATTAGCTCTTCATGAGTTACATCCTATGTGATATAATTCAAAGCAAAACTTATATCTAATGAGTTATGGAATTGGTTATCACTCTTAGGGACCAGATGTTCTTATATTGACGTTGTTGTTGTTATGTGCCATCGAGTTGGGTCTGACCCATAGTAACTCTGTACAGGGTTTCTGAGGAGCAGCTGGTGAGCTTGAACTGCCGACCTTGCAGTTCAAACAGCTTTGCCGTCTGGCACACAGTGCGACACCAGAACTCCTATATTGATGTGATGCGTCTGAAATAGATGGTATTTCTTAATAGAATCTGATGTTATGGAAAAGGTGACTATTTTGTCAAAAGTCATTAAAATAGGGTTGCACAACAGAAATAGAATGTAAACCACGTATATAATTTAATTTGTTTTAGTTCAGTTGCTGATAGCAATCAGACTTTGATTGATTCATGGTAGCCTCATGTACAATGGGATTTTGCCTCGTTTTATTTCCCATGTTTATTTGTGGTGTGGACTGTTTTGTTCCGTAAGATTGTTACTGGCTGATTTTTTGGATTGCCAGGCCTTTTTTCCTAGTCTGTCTCCATCTGGAAGCACCTCTGAAACCTTTTCAGCATCATAGCTACAGTTAAGTGTCTTCTGAGAGACAGGTGGTGGCTACACAGGAGGTGCATTTGTTCTGACTTAAACCCAAGTCTCCTGCATGAAAGCAAGAATTCTCCACTGAACTTCCACTGCCCCCAATTTTCTGATACATTAAAAAAGCAAAAAAAATAAATAAAAAATAAAAACAAAAAAAAAGACAACAGTGAAATTGTTTTTAATAATGTTTTATTTAACTCATTACTTCCAAAATAGTATTTTAATGTGTGATCAGTCTACTATGAAGGAACCACTGGCGATGCGGTAGTTAAAGCATTTGACTGTTAACCAGAAGGTTGGCATTTTGAATTCACCAGCCGCTCTTCAGGAGAAAGCTGTG